AGTTGTTGGTTGTCTTGGTCAGATCTCATCATAAACAATGTATCTGCTTTCCTTAAACTCTGGACTGAATCATACACCTTATGTTGGATTAAACAATTTTCTCCATACTGAGCCACCATCCTGCATTAAATTTCAGTTGTTTTCTTACCTTTTGACTATAAAAATTTATAACACTTTTGCTCCTTAACAGTCACACTGACAGTGGGGAGGCCATCTTTGATACATCATTGTGTATAGCAACATTGCAAACACACACAATGTTCTCAGATAACTGTTTTGTGATATTGTCTAGCAAAGTTCAGGAAAATATTAGTTTTCTGATCATTATGTGTCATTATATCAAAATTGCTTTTAATTAATGGCTTTCCCTAGTATGTATTATATATACATGTTAATGATTACTTATAAATCACATACTTCTATTTATTTTCCATATTTATTTAAAATCTTTGAATGCTCATAAAACCTATATGCTCATAAAATTATATGTTTATTTTGTTCCTCACTTCTTCAAGTTTGATTTTTTTTTCCACAGTGTGTTCAGAATTTTTTATTCTAAAAATTGGCAATTCTATTTCTGTATGATTCAGTTTTTTTAAATTATGTAAATAAACAATTTTGAATCTAACTTTGATTCTGTTCACATCTAAAGACTTCTATTATATGCTACATAATGGGTAAAGATTCAATATCAATCCTAAATTGTAATTTTGTGAAAAATTTATTTCAGGTCTTAATGAAGTTTTGAAATTATGTTAAGTTATTTATTTTAAAATTATTGGTGCTTAAAAAACAGATTGTTTAAATCTTTTTATTTACAATCTATTATTTTTTTATTGTATAATCATATGATGAAACTATGAATACTTAAAATGATTTTAATAGCTTGAAATAAGTACAGGTAACCCCCGTATAACACGGTAGTTACGTTCCAAAAAATTGCCGTGTTATGCGAATCCGTGTTATATGAAACAAAGAACTAATACGAAAAGGAGGGTTAGATTCCAAAAATTAAAAAAACATACTAGTATATTTTCATAATTAAGATAAATATCTTCATTAAAATTTTTTAAGTGATACATATTAATATAAATTAAACAATATTTTCTTCGTCATCACTAAAAACACTATTAATTAACCGAGAGCGTTTTCTTTTTGGCAAGTTATCCTTATCCTCTGAGCATTTTTCTGCATTATCTTCAGATCCATGCTTTACCTTTTGCAAAATGTATGTAATTTTAGATTGCTTGCTTCTAGTTAAAAGGTCTTTATAAATTTCCTTATATGGTGCTAAGCACTTACGAAGAATAAAGCAAGTATGGAATAAGGGAAAAACATTCGGCAACATCAGAAGCAGAAGCGTCGCGATGTGGCAACATTGAAACAAGTTTCGAGAAGGACCACCTGTATCGACAGAAGACAAGAAGAGAAAATTTACGTACTTAAGTACTAACAGTTCACGAAAATAATAATTTTCGTGAACTATTATTAGTTAAGTATGTAAAAATTTATTACATTTCCTGTTGTACGAGGGTTTTACCCAATTCTCGAACCGTGTCAGAGTGAATCCGCGCTATAAAAGTACCGTGTTATACGGGGGATGGTACCAATTCTCAAACCGTGTTAGAGCGAATCTGTGCTATAGAAGTGCCGTGTTATACGGGGGTTACCTGTATTGCTAAGATTGTGATCAAATATGTCGTGTTATCAAACAGTCAAATGTCTATTCATATAATAGAGAAATCTTAAATTAATATTATTCATTGAGAAAATTTGTTCATCACTGTAATCTATTTTAGATAACTTAATATGATTTCAAATTTGAAAATCTTGCAGTCCAATTTATATGTTCATCTTGTGTACTTTGAAAATATAATTTTATCAAGTGAATTCAGAATAGGTAGATAGTAATAACTTTAACAATCAGTGTTGTACTACTGAAGTATAATATTTCAATATCTTTGATTCTGCTGAGAGATTTGGTAAAAAAATTTGATGCATTTTATGAAATATAATGCTGCTCATTATATATAATGTTTTATGATTTGCTTGCTCACAATAGTTTACTAAATAACTTTATGCATCAGCTGACAATAGATATATAAGCTTGTATTAAGTCAGAAGCTTTTCTGAGATCACATAAAAAGCTGATTTTTTTTCTCACTCAAGGCTTTATAGTTTTAAAACTGATGTTGTATTTATATCTTGTTCATGAAGAAAATATTGTCTTGTTGTTTGCATCCCAGATTAAATGTTGATAATTGAAATTTAATTGCATTTATGCAAATTATAAAATATATGTATTTAATATCAATAACACTGAAATAAAAATAATCCGATATTGCTATATGAAACTATTGTTTTAACCACCAAATTATCAAAAGCACTTTAGCTTGAATAAATATGAAGAATCATCATATTGTCAGGAAGTATCCAGATTTTTAATCTGGATTTTTAGAAATTTCCTGGGTAGTTCAGATTGAAATATTGTTCTCTGTTCTTTATCTCTGCTGAACAATTCATTATTATATTAGTTGATTCTACATTTTTATAAACTATACAATGGAATCAATTTGTATATAATGTGTAAATTATTTACAATGCATTTTGTTTCAGTTAGCAAATTCAAAATTACTATAATATCTAAAATATAGGCTATTTTTATTTATCTATGACATCAATATCCTAGTCTATCTGAAATGTATAAAGTACATTGTTTTTAATTAAAAGAAAAAAGATTAGTTTAGATGAACTAAATTTCAATTAAAATTCATTCAAGCTTTGTTTAGATGTTTTAGCTTCATAAAATGCTTTTCATAATTTGCTATCTCAAACAGTAAATGATCTTGAATATTGTTTATAATAATAATAATAACAATAATAATAATAATAATAATAATAATAGGCAAGTAATAATCATGCATATTATTATTATAGGATAACTATCAGTTATCCCATTGCTATTTGCAGTTTTTTCAAGATTTTTTTATTATGATATTTTATTTCCTAATTATCTAAGAACAAAATTTTATACTATACATATATAAAATATACTCTACTGTACTATACTGTAATTTCTGTATACTTTTTCTATTGTTCATTATGAACAATCGAAAAGTATATTGTTGAGGAATATTTATTGTTCAAGTTTCTTTAGCTCAATTCCATCCTTTTAGCATCATGTTTTCCTCTTATCCATCTCTGATGGTATTTGTTTCATGACAAGTCTAGGAAATATAGTAGTCATCTTTCACTCTTTTCATATGAATGTATCATATCAATTATTGCCTCTGTATTTCTTACACTATTCTCTCTTCTATATCCATCATTCTGTTATTTTTTCATTTCTTATTCTTTTGAACAAAGAATAAAGAATATTCCACATAATCATCTAAGAGCATCTCTTTTCAGAATTCAAATCTTTTCTTTGTTTAATCTATCTCCACATTTCTGATCTCTATAATACATTTCTTACTATTGTATGCTTTTGATACTTTCTCTTTTATTTCTTGTTATTGCTAAACTCCCATTAAGTTCTTAGTAATCCTTCTTTCCCTGATCTTTAAATAATTATAAGAATTTCAAAAATTAAATAAATGATAAAAGTTATTTCTTCACGGTTAAATATTTAATAATAGAATTTGAAAAGATTCTAAAACTCACAGTTTAAAGTTAAAACTAATCTCTTACTCTTCAAAATCAACTGTATTTTGTTATAACAATTATAACAAGTCCCATTATGATTATTTTAATTCTCTAATAAACTAGAATATAATTGATTAAATACATAATTAATTTAAAAAGATATATATATATATTATAAGACATTTGAAAGAATATACATATATATTCTTTCAAATGTCTGTATTCAAATTGAATATATCAATTTGTCTGTATTCATCAATAAAATTTGAGAATAATCTGTAAATTGAAATCATTAAACTAATATGATTCAAAATTATTTGACAAATATATATTATAATGCAGTAAATATATATGCATAAATTGTTCATATTGATGAATACAGACAAATTGAATATATCAATCTTTAATGGCACCTGACAGTTGCAGATAGATTTTGATTATCTTGTGATGTGATTCCAGGATATTCTTGAAATAGTGTCTTCGACAAATTAGCTATTTCCTGAAATTGTATCCACCATCTTGACCATCATTCTTTGAACATTTGACTAACTAGTTGCATCAGTTTGATTCATTTTTCTCTATTCTTCCAGTGGTATACAACTTTTAAAAAAGTTTTAAATAATGCCATATATATATATTTTTTGAGGAATATGCATTCTCAGATGATTTAATGCAAATCAAAAACAAAGAATTCATTGATATGTTGAACATTCTACAAATAATGATTTATTTGCATATCGTAAACTTGTACTCATAAATTTTTTATTTGGAATTTTAAAACTATAAACACTAAAATATAATATTTGTATTTAGTGCATAAAAACAAATCCAGGAGTAGATTTATGTAAACTGTAGCCCTGAGCCAAAGTATTGAAAATTTCCTCAAAAATATTGTCAATAAAAAAGATTTAAGGTGAGATTGATCAATAAAAACCTCTAATCTATGATTTGTCTAGCTTATGTGTAAATCTAACATTAAGTAACTATTTGCAATTGCCCTTTAATAATAATTTAATTATTAATGAATATTTCATATTTTTTCCCAACATATATCTTTTAGACAAATTTAATGAAATTTTATTAAAATAGATGATAATATATTTTCCCCCTTATACTGTAATTCCTTAATTTTTTATAGTTATAATATTCTAGCACCAAATTTCTAAATTCTAATGAGATTACATAATGATTATGTTGATTGAATTATTGCAATTTATATTCAATTTTATTTGACACATGAATAAAAATAACATTATATTTTAACAATAGTTTAATGATTTCAATTTACAAATTATTCTCAAAGCCATTAATTATAAAATTATTTTCTAATTTTAAGCATCTTTTGATTTATCTTGTTTAACTTTACATCTATTAATTTGTCATAATTAAATATTTCCAGCCTTTTTTTTTTTTGTTATTTCATAATGGGTTTTTTCCAGTCTGATGATTACTTTTTGATTAAACTTTCATCTACTGCCTTCATTCTTAGAACTAAAGAATTGATTTTGTAAATTAATTATATTAGATTTTATTATGGCTTTTTTATTAGAATTAATTAATTTAAATTATAACAGACAAAAGAATAGATTAAGTATTAAGAAGTCATATACTGTATATATTTATGTTTGTGAATTGTAATCTTAAATAATACTGAAAATAATAAATACCTAAAATAAATGTAACAGTACTTAATGATTGATTAAGAATAATATGTGATGGCATCTATTTGATGACTAGTATAGTAGTGTTTGCATTGCTTCATTCTTTAAAGTGATATCAACTATAATTTTTATATTATAAACTAATATACAGATTGGAGTTTTGAAATCAGGCTTTTGTAGAATGAACTCTTGAGATTTAAATTTCAGTTTATGGCATTAGTTTATACTATTACTTACAATATGGAATTATTTCTTTTTGCAAACCTGTTTCAAAATGGTAAATGTATGCTTAACAAACTTAAAATTTTATATTTGTTATCAGTGAAATGCTTAAAAATTTGTTTGTGTGTATTTGTATATACAACTTCTATATATCAGGAATGTAAATAGAAATTTCTGAGTATTGTTGGAGCCAGCACTAGAGTTTATTTTGCTTGGGGCAAGATATGCATTTGATGCCCCTTATTCCTCTACATAAAATGAAAAAAATTTGTATTAAAATGCCATACCTATTAGAAGTGGGAATAAATTTTTGAATGTTTTTAAATTTAAATTTTATTTAAGATAATTTAATTTCACTTATATTACTACAATAGTTTCACTGTTTGCTATTTTCACTGAAAAAAATTTGCCACCCTTGCCATTTTCTGGCCTGACCAAATGCCTAGTTTGCCTATGTGGTAGCATCAGCCCTGAGTATGGTCACTTGTTTGCATATAACATGCAAGTAGCATGTTATATGCAAGAAAGAGAAATTTAAAAGTCAACCAGTGATACATATGGCAATACTGAATAAAAGAAAGGATGAACATGAACAAGTATTAAATTTTATTTTTCTGTACCTTTGGCTTTTCCTGTAAACAGTATTTGAGTCTGATATGCCTTTTTTTGTGTTTCATCCAGTGTGCTTGTGACTTCTTTTACACTGTTTACTTTTCAAACTTGTGGGACAACAGAATGAGAGGCAGAAGGATGTGGAAGACACTGTCCCTGCCTTCCTGTGTAGCTACATCCTTGAAATATAAATATGAAAACATTATTAAATTTATAATTATTATGTTTCTATTGAGTATTAATAAAATATTCAATAGAAATACAGTAGAGCGTCGTTTATCCGAAAGCATTCCAGTCGACAAATTTAAATTTTCGCTAGTGCTGTGGCGCTGCAACCTTTGGCTATATCTTGGGCTACTCCAATATTTTTTTGTTGTGTGTTATTTAGCTGGCAGCACTTCCCAAGCACTGCACAGTGTAGTATATAGTCCTTGAGCACTGCCACATTTGTGTGGTGTTTTTCTGAGACTGTCGGGACATTCCAATTTTCAACGCTGACTCAGCGCTGATCTCAACATTCGTTAAAATTCGTTCCTTTTTTCAACATTGAGGTAGCGCTGTTGTCAGCGCTGACTCAACACACTCAGCACTCAACAGATATGTTGACTGCTACTTTCCAATGAATTGTGGGTAATTGGTAAGACATTTGAATGGAATCCATCTTGCTGAGAATGGAATTATGGGTAGTAAGCACTTCGTACTCGAGTTGGAACGTCGTTGATGACGTCAAATTGTTGACTTCAACACTCAACACTCGCGTTGAAAATTGGAATGTCCCGTT